ATGTTGTGGATCTTCTGTATCATCACCATGTAAACGTTTATTAACACGATTATGAACTAAAAAAAAAAAAATATTCATAAAAAAAGAAATAATAAATAAAGAAAAACATAATACTTTTCCAAAGATAAATAATAGCTGCATATTTATTTTGTGAATCAAGTTGATGAATATCTTTTGTTTCTTGCATAAAATTTTCACTACAATGTCGACAACCAAAAAAATTTTTTATAAAATTTTTTATAGCTGATGGAATTTCAATTGTATTCATTGGTTCTCTTTCTAGAAACGAAAAAAAAAACAAAAATAATAAAATAAAATATGAAAAGTATCAATGAATAAAAACCTAATTGAACTTGTGAAACAGTTAACGTATGAAAAAGTGTCCAAAGAGTACATGGATAACCACGATATTGTGGTAAAGAACCTGCACAATATTCATATCGAACTTGATTATTTGGTAAATAACTATCTGATGTATTTATATCAGCTAATTCTCGAAATTGTTTTCCAGTCAAACCATTTGGTTGTTCTTGTACTTTCGATAATAATTGTTTAAGATAATTCATAACTGATTCACGACCAGGAAAATACTAAAGAAAAATTAATCATATATATTTAAACGAAAAGAATATTTGTTTGTGTTTTATTTTAGTATTTCTTTCGTAGTAAATTAATTTAAACATTATCGACTACAAATTCTAATAGAAAGAGTCTTTTTGTAAGTTTCAACTGTGAAAGTGAATAAATATTGACTATATGTATTTGAAGAGTGACATATAAGCTATTATTCAAAAGAAATTCGATTCAATTTTTATCAACTCAAATTAAATATTACTTTGGTAGAACAGTATTTCTCGAGAATAGCTTTTATTTGACTGAACAAAAACGAATGGAACTATCATAGACAGTAGACCCAACTGGAATTCATGAATAATGATAATATCTGAATATTTGCTTTTTGTTTTCTCGAAGATACTTTTCACCAAAGAAGAAAAAAAATACAATTCAGTAACGTTCGACCACGTCGAAAAACTAACTTTGATCAAAGTTTTCGATATATTTACTAATTTAGTCATCATCTTGAGTTAATGCGAATTAAGCCTCATTTCTCTTAATTGAATGTATCCGATATTTAAGGATGTTTTCTAAAAGCCACACAAAAGTGTGGTATAGATTTGAATAACTTATAGTAGGTTTCAGTCAAATATCTAGTCAAGCTGTCATTTGCATTTTATAGAAATTATTTTGTAATCTATTTACGTCCTAGAATTTCAAAATTAAGTCTTAATCTTCTAATGTATGCTCTGAGAAGTAATCATTTTACGAGAGAGTCTATCTAACTTATAATCTTTGTTGCAGCTTATATTTTGCTCATAGATAGGACTCATAGTGTTGATTGAAATCCTAAAAGAGTTCTGCCATGAGGCCTTTTGTTTCGAGTTATGACTACTTTATGGAACAGACAGCATGCTGTAGGATATTACAAGAAAAGCCGCAATAAGAAGTTTTGACCTGAAATTCTTCTCAATAATAGTTTTCATGATCGTTATGATATCCTGAAAATTTCAGCCCAAACGAGTGTCGTCCTTCTGAAATAACATCTTTTCAAAAAAAGTATATAAGAACTTAAAAACTAGGTCAGTTTCTAGTCGTAAGATATCTTAAGAAGGAATCATCTGTTTGAGCTGACACTTTCAAAACAACATAAGTATCAAGAGATTTATTGTTAGAGAAAATTTTGAACTGAGCTTCCTTATTGTGATTTTTATTGTGATATCCTGCAATAGACTGGAAGCTCCGTAAAACGACCACAACTTGAAAAAAAGGCCTATTGACATGAATTCTTTCAGGACTTGCATCTACCCTACGAGCCCTACCTATAGGCAAAATATGTGCTCATTAGTAGATGTATGAGATATAAAAACCTAATATGGACCATATTGTCATGAATTTCGTCGTATTCTGTTGTAAATTGAATAATATTCGAGAAGAAACATACTAATATTTATCATACCTTAGTGAGAACAATCAACCAATGTATCAAAGCATCATAAGTTTCACCATGAATTTCTTGGACTCGAGGTATTTCTCGACGTAACATATAAGATAAAGATGTTTCAAAATCGACCATACTAATTTTTTGATGAATAATATGTTTATTTAATACATTATCTTTTTCTTTATTATCTTGATATGGTTTTCTCTTTTTATCTATATTTTCAAGTGCATTTTTACTTTGAATTATCTCTTCTAAATCACGATCATCAAAATTATCAATAAATTGTCCTTGACGAATATATGAACGAATAGCATAATTAAATAAATTTCGACTACCAATATTTTCTCTATAATAAATAAAATATTTTACATAAATTAATTTGTTTTTGTTCGAATAATAATTTGATTACTTCGTATTTTGTTCAGTAATAATTTGTTCTACAGTACTATTTGGAAGAACAGCAAATAGAACCGGTACATCTGTCCTATTAATTTGAAATTTATACGATAATTTTTTATCTGTTGTCATTCGAAAAATTGCTAATTGTTCATAATATTTAGAGAAATCAAGCATAATCTAAATATCATAATAAGATCTACATTTAAAGAAAAATAAAGCGATCATATTACTTGTCGAGCAGTAAAATCATCAGGTTTTTCTATGATAACTAATACCAATTTCACAGATGATGGGATACGCCTATAAAGATCTTCGAATGAAACTCGACTAAAATTTTAAATCAAATAAAAAATGAAATCTAATTATGATAAAAAAAAAGACTTACTTGAAAGGTGCAAAATGCGGCCAAGTTTTGTCTGTTCTTTTCAAATCAACAAGTTTTTTTATAAGTTCTCTTTCTACACCTTTGGCATTACTTGCTGATAGAGTTATAATTTTAGATGTATTCATTAATACTTCTGGTTCTATTAACTATATCATAAAACATATAGAAAGAAATTTTTTTAAAACTATATTCTACTCACACGAAGTGTTGGATAACCTGTAATATTATGTTGGTCACATAAAGCACTATTTTCATCAGCATAACAATTTATTGCGCCAATACGAACAACTGTTCGCCATCCTTGAAAAAGACAATGAACTTATTTGTTATAAGAAAGAAATTCTAATATCTCATGTTTACCCCAAGTATCAATAGCAACTTCTCGATAAGTCTAATCAAAAATGAAAAAAATAAAATTATATTGGCAGAAAACAAAATCTTACATTTGCATAAGATTGACAATGACCACACCAACTAGCATAGAATTCAATAAGCCATGCTGTATTAGATTCATAAACTGTCGATGAAAAATTTTGACCTGTTAGAATTGTTATTTTATCATTTTCAGTATATAAGGATATTGAATCTTGTGGTGGTACTGCAGCTGTTGAAGTTTGTCGAATAATTGCAATAAGAGTAAATAAAACAAAGTACCAATAAAAATCGACAAGATATTTATCAACAAATAGGGATTTCATCGACGACGAGATCGTAAATTACATTTATCTATAATCTTAAATATTGAAGAAAAAAAAAGCTTGGTAATTTTATATGGAGTATACTCGCATTCACAAACATAAATGACACATGACAGTTCTAAGTGATCGATGTAAAGGTCTCAAAGCATTATTTCACTGACGCGCATATTCTATTTTTTTTCTTTCGCGCCCCCATACAAATAATCGAGGATGATAAATTATTCTTTTATTCTTCTCGAACGAAGAAAAAAAAGAGAAGAAGAGGATCTTTGCGTGGGTTAGTGATGAATAAATAATTGAAGTGTTAGAGAAGGAGCTCAGCGATAACATAGTATGATGACAGAGCAAAAGAAAAAAAATAATAGACTTAAGGACAGTCTGTGTAATCCTTTGAATAAAGTTTGCATTATTCCTCTTTCTTTACATGTCGACCGCCGGTCATTAGTAGATAGATAAAGATGAAACAGTAAGTAAAAATAGAAAAAAAATAAATTTACAAATGTTATTGCTGTCTACACAAAAGTAAAAATCTTCATTAGAAATAAATCATTAACCTATACAATGTCATCAATATACCTTTTGTGTACTTATGACATTAGTAGTGTTTGAGTACATTCTAAACATTGTTTTGATAGCCTTGATAACTCAATGTCTGTCTCTTATATCGGTACATTATCTATGTGTTGCATCTTTTCATTCCTTTTACTCTAATTAAAACTAAATTTTTTTTTGCTAGAACAGCTCCTTTGTATTTTTTTGCCTCTATCATTTACATACAAATCTGCATTTGACTTAAGTCATTTACATTTAAACGAACATGTTGAGGATAAAGTTATTTTACTTGTAAAGAATAAGCTATCGTCTTATACTATTATAAAAATGCATTAGTTTTTACAGCTTAGACATATTTTTTCTTTTTTGTTTAGTTTCAAAAACTATTTCTAGAGAACATCAAGTAGACTTTATATATATTCTTTTGAATGACATTTGAATATTATTCTTTAGAATTATTTGAAGATTCTGACATGTGTAAGAAATTGAATATCCTTATGTCTACAAATAAGTATTAGACTAATCTATTTATCCTTAGAATATTGACGAACGTCACTAATTTAATAATAACAAAATCTATTGTATTGTGAAGGATTTTATCGAAAACATCAAAAATAGAACAAATATTCTAAACATACGAGTAATGGAATTTATTCATATATCGATGTGAAAACTTCCCACAAAAAAAAATAATATCATTTAAGAGTTTCTAACTAAAAGTACATCTAACTTCAACTGTGTTTTCGGATTGAAAAGACAAAAGATAACTGAATCAAATTTTACGAGTAAAAGCTTCTCGCTTTTGATATTTATAAAAGATATATTTTTCTGTGCCAATTTCAGTTGAAAACTAATCAAACAATGATGAACAAAAAAAACAAGAAATAAAATCAATAACGACATATACATTCGTTTAAAATGTTATTGCAAATTATAGATCACTGAGACGAAGACAATAGTATTACTATTATTGATCGGTAAAATTAGGTTTACGTTTTTCTACAAATGCAGTCATGCCTTCTTTTTGATCGGCCTAAATAAAAAACAAAAAGATACAAAAGTTTCTATAAACTTTTGTCTATCTTATACTTAACATACCAAACCAAACGTTGCATGCGAAAGACATTTTTCAAATCGGTTTCCTTCTGTCAACGTTGTTTCAAAGGCTATACAACAAAACGAAAACAATATTTTCTATGCTAAAGAAAAAATTCGTATCTACCAGCATTGACCGCTTCTTTAACTAATTGTGTAATAATTTTCGAATGACTAGCTATTTTTTCAGCTGTTTTAATAGCTTCTTCAACAAGTTTTTCAGCGGGAAAGACAGCACTAACTAAACCTATTTTTTCAGCTTCTTGTGCACTAATTCGATTGCCTGTCAATATTATTTCCATTGCTTTCGATTTACCTATAGAACGAGGTAAACGCTGAGTGGCGCCCGCTCCTTTAAAAATAACACACAAAAAAAAACATAAGTATTCTAACAGATTATCAAATTTATGTTCCAGTTACCAGGCATAGTACCAATAGTGAGCTCTGGTTGAGCAAATTCTGCTTTATCACCAGCATAGATTATGTCGCACATCATTGATAGTTCACAACCACCACCTAACTAATAAACACAAAATTGAAACAAACAGTTCTGAAAAGAAAATAAATACGTACTGCTAAACCATTGACAGCAGCAATAATAGGTTTTTTTATTCGTGATGCTGCTGATAATTGATTAGGGAAATCTGACTTAAGAACTTGTGTCAATGTTTGATTTTCCATTTCTTTGATATCAGCACCAGCTAAAATGTACTCAATCAAGGTATTTATATGGATAATTCAATAAAATTTACCAGCAAATGCACGTGTACTACCAGTAAGAACAATACAACCGATCTTTTCATCCTGATCCAGTGACTGTAATACTGTAGCTAACTAGAATAAGAATATAAAAACATATGAATAATAGACTTTCATTGTAAATAAACGATATAACGTTGTTTTTGATAAGAACAATTATGTATTCTTAACAATAGAACAACTAATTACGTTATTGATACTTTTTTTATAAAATGTATAATAGTAAATTTATAATCATACTTCTTTCATGAGACCATTACATAAACAATTAAATGTTTTAGGTCGATTAAGTTGAACAAGTGCTACATTTGAATTTTTTCCTTTGATATTGACTAATAAATATTCATATTTATTTTGTTGTTGTTTTTCCTCACCTTCATATAGAAAAAAAAATAAATAGTAATAAATATTTTTGTACCATACTTTGTTGAGATTGTCCTGTAGAAATTGAACGAAAATTTAATAATTTATAATAAGACGGTTTCAAGATAGAGCTGGTTGTTCTTCTTGAATGTCCTATAATTTGTGTGAATGATCTTGCAAAAAAACTCATCTGCAATGCATTATAGATATCCAAGGTGTCAACATGTGATGAAAATAAGCGTATTCAAGATAAAACTATTACACAAAACGCAATAATTACCAACTTCTGAAGAGTTTATTTTCAAAAAACAAAAACTAGATCTGATTTTCTGACCTAATCAGGTGGATATCAAAAGCTATAAGCAAAAATAATGTTATTGGATGCAACGTGTACCAATAAGTTCATCAGAATTTCAAAGGAAGTGAATATATCTACTGTGTGATCCCTACATCTATTGGAATATAAAAAATGTGAAACATGACAGAGTTTAGCAGTGAATTCGAGTAGTTTTCGCAAAAATTTACTCTTGAATCTATTCTAACCTTCGAAGTAATTGTGCTGGATACAGAATTGGCTTCTGTATGAAATAATAATCTTTTCGGTGATGGCAATCAAGCAAAAATTGAGATTCAAATCGATATACTGGATTTTTCACTGAGTTTTGTCATTATATTCAGCTAGTATTTTTTCTTGAATCTTTCACAACATTGTACTCAATAGTGTTGTGTGCGAATTTAAAAACTTTTTCTTTTGGTGAATTCAAATAAAATATGATTGACGAAAAACTTAAAAATTGAATAGTTTCCTCAACTGTAGAGAGGATCATATGAAATAAAATGCGTTTGTATATGTATGTATGTGTCAGGGTCAAAAAACATCACCAATGAGACTTTTTATTTTGAGCCTTCTGGGCCTTTCAATGAAACTTTTCTATAGGTTATCGATGGTCAAGATTTCGAATCTGAGGTCAGATTTCACAGCCGGCCTTTTCATTGGCTAATGGTGTGGGTGTGCAGATGAAAGAGGATGATCTACTGACGAAGTAGACTTGAACATGGGGGTGGCTAGTCGTGAGTGGCGCTCCGAAGGAATGATAACGGACGACTAGCCGATGATCTGTTAGATTCACTGAAGGTACGCTTTAGGCCACTGGAATCCATAGAAAAATTGCTCACTGATCGAGTCTCATTGGTCAAAACTGTCCGAAAGCGGCGAAAAACTCAGTACGATAATATGAGTTTTTATCCCAAATAAATACACAGCAATAAGGATTTTCGAATCAACAATAGTGATGACAATTGACAAGGAGTTGAATCTGTAGCTTTAGACGGAAGAAGATCTTGCAGGAAAATATGAATAAAATTTAAGTTGCTGTGTGCGATAACCAGAAACATAAACGATTTCTTAAAAAGCCCCACAGCCAAAGGGTTAACAAGAAAATGAAGCACTATTCTAAATTATACCTGTATCATACACGAAATCGAGCAGTCAGGAGTGGCGATCCGTAGGAACGTCGATCACTGATGGCGAGCTTTCTCTTACGACTCATTTTGGAAAATCTCAAAAGAAAATTGAAGAGTCAGGTCTTTTGCCATTGATAACGTCGTATACACATAGATTTAAAAACTAGATTTTCCCAGAAACTACTAAAATTATTTTCTTTGATATTCTATACAAATCGGCCTTCGATTTGAAACAGTTTTGTTGTCAATTTAATGGCATGATTCCACATGAGATCTATGCCTTCTATGCAGAATGTATAAATGTAATATCTAAAAACTTTAGAAAATCAGATCAGTTCACAATACAAATTATTGAATCCAGTGATGGATGTAAGAGAACGGCAATGGGAGTATCACCGTCCATCCTAAAACCTTTTTTGTTATCTTTCCAAGAGGATAGACCTAAAATTTGATGTTATTTATTTGATTTGATTAGTGAGCCGCCGTTACAATGTATAATTGTTGCATTAGAAATTCAATCATGACTTTTAACTTGTGCATAGCAGTACCTGAGGAACCAATGCATAGTGGTCTAAATATGTTTAACACTTTTCATGATGTGTTCTGTGATTGCATGTATCTTAAACGATCATTTATTGATAGATACCATCAAGTAGATGACTAAAATGAGTAATAACTAAGTTGACAAACAAAGCCTATTGTTTATTTCAATGACATTTTCTTTAAATATTATCGTTTTTCTCAACTTCGTAAGTTTATATGTTGTATGCTGAAATACTATGATTATCAAACATAGTATTTCGTAGGATTGTGTCAATGAAAAATCTTCAATCTATAATGGATGTGAAGATGTGGATGTGGGGTAGGTATGAGTGTCAGGCTTGTATTTACTTTCACTGAAGTCTACAACCATTCACATCTACTCTCACACAACCACCTCTACAATTCCATCCACATCCTCATCTTGTGTGTAAACGAACCGTGCACAAATTATGGTGCGCAAGTTTCTGTACGAATCTTTCGTATACCCTTCTTATCCCTATACGACGTAAAAATTACACGTATTTAAAAAGTTTGTTTCGAAGAATACAAAAGAAGTAAAGAATATTCTGTTGAAGTACGTGAATTTTCAGATGACAAAACAGTTCTAGAACAGAAATGGAAGTAGAATAATATTAAAACAGAAAAAAAGAGTATGGATACATATTACACATTAAAAGAGTAAAAAACACATGATCAAATTCCGAAAAAATGCATTGAATACAACATGTGTTAAGGTCATGATAACAGTACTTACTCACTTTTCTACCTTTGTTCCGACTGCTTTCACATTCTCATTTGACCCCACCTACGTTTTGTTGGTAAACCAACACGAAAGGGCTGCAATATTATTTTTCTTTCATCGAAAATATTGTACTTCCGACCATGAATAACATGATATTTCTAAAAGAAAGCTGACTTATAATTCTTGCATCATTCTGCCATATAAAACCTGTTCTTATATTAGCCATCTATAAATAATTGCATGTTCATTATTTTATACTCATTCAAATAAGAATTTGTGTCCGGACCAAAACCATGCAGATATTAGTGTTTTTAGCTGTATGTACGATTGCATTCGGTCATTTTCAAGAGAACTATCCCAACGTAAGTAGGCTTTGCAAAACAGCAAAATACGATACGTTTGCATTTTAACCTGAGAAGAGTTCAATGTATATCACTTTTTAGATTCATCGTTTATCAAAAATACAAGCAAGATCTGATTCATCAAATAATATGACAACTGATGTTTTGATTATTGGTGCAGGTTTATCTGGTTTAGAAGCTGCTCGTCTATTGCATCAAAACAACATTGGAACAATTGTTTTAGAAGGTCGTGATCGCATCGGTGGTCGAATCTGGTCTGTCAAATCAAAGAATGATCATGTTTTTGATCTAGGAGCTGCATGGATTCATGGTATCAATGGATCAATTCCTGGTGGTCTGCTGACTAACCCATTGTGGGATCTAGTACAACAGACTAAGATTGAAACACGAGGCACATTACAAAACAATTTACAGATCTTTTATCCAACTAACGAGACCAATTTCGATGTTCAAACTTGGTACGGGGAGTATTTGTTGTATGTTCGTGAAAGAATCAGATTACCAGAATCCAATGCAACACTAAAATATTACGCTAATGCATTTGTAAACTTGAAAAACTTTACTGAACATCAGAAACAAGCCTTTTATAGTTATTTACATTTTGCTATCGAAAGTTATGAGGGAGCTGAACTTGATGTCATTGGTGGAAAGGGTTTCTTTGACATTACTTCGATTCATTACGGTGAAGAACACGTATTTCATAGAACAGGATATGTGTCACTCATTGAATATTTAGCTAAAGATGTAAAGGACATTCGACTTCAACAAATTGTAACAAAAATTAGTTACGGTGCAGATTTGGCAGAAGTTCAAACAGCAAATGGACAAACATATCAGGCAAAGTTTGTTCTTGTGACAGTGCCACTGGGAGTATTAAAAGGAAGATCAATAGATTTTAGTCCTTCACTACCACAATGGAAAATGGATGCTATCGATCGTCTAGGTTTTGGAATATTAGATAAGGCTGTATTGCTGTGGAATAAAGCCTGGTGGAATTCAACTGACTATTATTTTTTGAGAGTTTCAGCAAAGCCAACTGAATTTGGCTATTGGGTTAATGCAAATAAATGGAATGACAAGCCGGCTATTATATGTTATTTTGTTGGCAAAGAAGCTTATCGACTCGAAACTACCGTGAACAAGTCCGAAGTAATTGAACAAGTTCGACAAACATTACAAGATATGTTTCCTGATCGAATTGTTCCTACACCAATTGATAGTCTCATGACTTACTGGAAACTAGATCCTTTTTCTAATGGTTCTTACTCTTACGTCTCAGTAAACCAGCGATACGAAGATCCTTCATATTTGGCTCAACCAATTCAAAACCAACTGTTATTTGCTGGCGAAGCTACAAGTACAGATTCTTATGGTTATGCTCATGGTGCTCTCATGAGTGCTCGAAGAGAAGTAACTAGATTACTATACGTCTATAATTTGCTGCAAAATCCAACTCCATCTAGTTTCGCCATGTTTAGTCCGGATCCTTCCATGATTGTCCTCATTGCAGTCTTGACCTGTTTGAAATACTTATAATAATATGATTCTGTCCATGTTTTTTTAATTTTCTTCAGTTTATTTATTTTTTCTAATATTACAATTATTTTTCTTTTCATGATAATGTTATTATTCATAACTAATCAGATTTTTATCCTGCCTTTCACAAATATATTTACATTTTGAGAGTTTAAACCTATGTTGAACTGTGTTCTCTCAACTCTTTTCATGTAACTATTTTTGTGTCGTGTTCTAAATAAAAAAAAATCGAAAGCAAAACATGTAATTTAATGACATGATCATGTAAAGATTTTACTATGGAATATCGGTAGTTCTACTTTCATTTTTCTAGAAGCATGTTAGCAGTGACTTTTTTTTAACATTTATCTATGACTAATTATGTAGGCATGAAATTACAATATGTCCTGTAAATATTATCTATAGATCAATGAAATAAATAAACTAATTCCTAGCTAATTGACAATACACTGTTTCAATATATCTATTATAAATCTTTCTACATTTAGAAATCTGTGCTACAGTCGAGATCGTTTTCAACATTGATCTGGAATGCATTACTCGAGAAGTAACTTCCTAAAACAAGCATCACAGATCAGCTGTAACTTTGTATAATAACGACTATAAAGTTATTGTTCATAATATCATGTAAGAAACATCTAGCGATAAACACATAATGGTATTGATGCTATTTCTTCAATAATAATTACTGCTATTTGTTATGGAAATCCTCGAACTTCAGCACCTTTCTAGCTAAGAGGAAAATCTGTTTAAATTCATAAACATTGAACAGCATTCTATGATTCTTCAATAAAACTCTTACGATTATAATGATTTTCAATGCAAAAGTTTATATAAATTTTGTCAAAAAAAAAAAATATGAAACTCAGAAAAAAATAATGTGGCACTTGTGTTTCATGTTAGCAATTATCTGCAATTCCATTATATCACTTATTTTACAAAATATACAACCACAACGAATTTTTTCTTTACCATTTAGAAATATTTTCGAATATTCGTGATGAATAAAATGACACTAACTATTATTACTCACTATTATCCATAGGAAGTAGGCATAGAAATAAAATTATAACCACCACCGCGTTTGATAAAGGACACGTCAGTAAATATTTGCTGGAGAAAAACAACTTACATTTTATTGTCATGAAACAAAGAATGATTAAACTCCTATCATCGTGAAAGTCATATTCTACTTCCTTTCCTCAGTTTTTATCTTTATTTAGGATAAAAACAACAAAACAATCTTCATCATTATTATCTGATATATATATATATATTCGATAAGTTAACTAGTATTCGTGCGTATACATAAATGTCAACTTACAAATTATATTATTTTAACGGGCGTGGTCGTGCTGAAATATCACGTCTAATCTTTGCTGCTGCTGGTCAAAAATTTCACGATATTCGATATGAAGAGAGCGAATGGCCAACACATAAAACTGAAATGCCTCTTGGGCAAATACCAGTACTTGAAATCAATGGATTCAAATTACCTCAATCGATTTCTATTGCACGTTATCTTGCCAAAGAATTTCATTTGGCAGGTAAAAATAATTTGGAACAAGCTAAAGTAGATGCCGTTGCTGATACATTAACTGATTTAATTAATAAATTCGCACCAATTTTGTGGGAAGAAGAAGATGAAAACAAGAAAAAAGAAGGTATTAACAAATTTATGACTGAAGAATTACCAAAACATTTAAAAAATCTCGAAACTTTGGGACATTCTTACAGTGATGGTGGTCATTTTTTCGTTGGTAATAACCTCACCTGGGTAGATCTATATGTATACGATATGGCTCAGAATCTTCTCGAAATAGATGGCAACCTTTTCAATCAATATCCTTGGTTAAAAGCTAATCGAAAAGAAGTTGAAAAACAACCAAGAATTGCGGCATACCTCAAGAGTCGTCCAATAACACCATACTAAATGATATCTTAATATTTAAAACACATTCATTTGCTTTTTCTTTTGTCGAAATCTTTTTTTTTCCTATTATAGTCTTATTGCTAATAAAAATAGAAAATATCCATTACAAATTGGTGATCAGAGTCCGAATCGGGTCGTTTCAGATCGAATTCCGAAAAAAGCTTCGATTTTGGGATGGATTCGAAGCCTGAAAATTTTGCAGATACACAGAAAATTTGAAATATTATTCTCATTTATAAGTTCTACAAAAGAGTGACAAAAAGCTTATTAAAGCAAGAAGTGATGTATCGCACAATTTTTCTTCTACTTTATAGACTCTTCTTTATTGACATCAGACAACGATGCATGGCGAGTCTACTGTTTGTTCCATAGTGATCTAAAGATTGAAGCCTGTGTACATAAAAAAAAGAAAGACAAACAACAATAAATTTTATCACATAATCCTGTTGTCCCATCTGCAGAACATTGGTAAAACATCGAGGACATATTCCTTGTTTCCAATTATAAAATGAAAGGAAGAACAGAGGATTGAGAAATTGGTTTTCTCAAGAGAAGCAGAAAAACTAGCCAATATTAGAGTCCGACTTGGATGGAGTCTAATCATAAAAACTTGACTGATCCTATTTGTAAAAATTTTTTGCACAAAATATATCTTCAATTTTCTTTCATTTAAAAGTTGCAGGAGGTCATCCAAAGCAGCCAGCTATAATGGAAATTTCATGCTTCTTCTAAGTATATATATTCAGAATTTTTTTCCGACTCAAAATGGATTCAATAAGAGCAAATTTTGAAGAAGACCAAAAACGACGTTTGTACAGAAATTCTCGTGTACTGCATTTTTGTACATGGATTAAAAGTGCCTCAATTCTAGTTATAAAAAGTCTTCTTATATGCTAGTTTGTAGAATGAAGCTTGCTCTGCAAAAAGGAAAAACTATTCCAAAATACTCTTTCGAGAAATGGCACACCATAGAAAAAGTTTATTTTGCGTGGTACAAACGACATTTTTCATTTAATCACGTATTTGTTTATAGCTAACTAGCCGTTAGTTAGGATCAAGTTTGAAGGATATATTTTAAAACAGTATCGAATGCTAATTCTACCTAACTAGTTTCGGTCATCTTCGATTACAGTTAAATGTTCAAAAACTGATTAAGCATTGTTACTAAGACCTTTGAAACTCGTGTTTTGGTCCTCTTCAAAGATTAGCTCTTATTGAATCAACTTTGAGTCGGCAAAAAATTTTGAATATATACTTAAAAAGAGTATGAAATTTTCATTATAGGTGACTTCTTTTGATTATCTGCTGCAACCTTTAAGTGAAAGAAAATTGAAGATATGTTTTGTGCAAAGACTTTTTTACACGCAGGTTATGTCGGATACTGTTGGTGATGTGAGAAAAATATTTTCTTCTTATCTTCAGATCACAGCAATGTTTTCTTTATTCTTGTCCACATTACTTTCCGAAATAATATTTAAAACGAAACAATATCGTTTTTCTCTTTATCAGCTGAAATAATTACAATCTTATAGACATATACGAGATATCATACTTGAAAAATAAATATATAAATTATTTTCTCAATTCTTGTTCGTTATTCTCTAAAAACAAACAAGTAATAATCTTTTCAACATATCTTGTAAAACATTTATTTTAAATACACAGTCGATACATACAGACAGTTAAATGAAAAGAAAATAGAGTTTGACATGAAGAATCCTTTTATTAGTCATGTTTATCAATTCCTCTGAACGAGTTTTCTTGAGAAGAACCAAAAAGAGAAGCATTTGTCACTGTTAGATAAGACAAATATAATAAATATGATTGACGAACATTTACGATTATGTTAGTCGAACAATGATGATGTGGCTAAAATAGAAAAAATGAAACAAAAATTCACAATTGGCTATATATAACTCGAAATTATTTATGTTAAGTCTAACATTTTATAAGATGAAAATTTTTTCGATGCTAATTTCAAATATGTGAATACTAATTAACAAAACAGTAGAAAACGTTCTATGGCCTAGAAATACTACAAAGTTTGAACACTAATGAAATTCCATAATGAATTAATTCTAGAAGCATTATCTTGATTCTTAGACATCTAACATTTGTACGAATATCATAGGTCGAAAGAGTAGTGTATATCTCATCAATTAGTTTTTAATTGAAGATTTTTTTCGGCTGGTCAATGATTATTTAAAGATGTGTTCCACTACTATCTTTTGCACAAGTTTTTGAGTTGCCCACTTTAGAAAAAATTTTGCATGTTCAAAGCGCTCAATATTTGCTTCGAAATAATTTCTTATTTACATTAATATTGTCTTAAGATTATTTATTCATAGACTTGATATAAAAGTTAGATCATCTAGATAAATTGTTATGATCACACAATATTTCTTATAGTAATACTATCACTATTCTACCGTGAAGATGTTGTCGTAGACTCTTTTCTTTACAAACTTATTGTCTAGAAATATTTACATATGATATTCACAAAATATTATACTAAAATTTCGATCATAATCAAGAAAATTTAAAGTTTTTTTTTAAACTTACGAGGACGTCCAAGTGCTGATTGTACAATTTGATACATACATCGTTGAAACTCTTTAAGAATAGCTTGTTTTGAATCGAGATCATTCATTTGATTCATTTCACATTGTTGACCAGTAACAAGTAAACAAGTAGTTAATGCTTCGGTTACTTCCATATTAAAAACATTATTTGGAATAGTACTACATCATATAATAGAAAACCCCAACAATAAAAAAAAAAGATATGAAAACTTGAATTTTTTTACGTTTCTGTTGGAGGTCCTGTTCGTGGTATTTGATCAAGTGGAGTTTGTGTTGTTGTTTTTGGTTGACCCGATCGATAGAAACCAACATTAAGAGGATGTACTGATTGTTCAGTATTTTTACAACCAATGCTAAAAATAAAAATATACCACCTTACATTACTATCATTTAACTAAAAAATGGTTATTGATTTACCATTTACATAAGCTAGTACAAGGCACTCGTGACTAAGAAATAAATATTAAAAAATTTGAATGTAAAAGAAAACTTATTTACTTCATAACATTCACAATATCGTTTGTGACAACTTGATTTTTTACACTGAAAAAAATGATAATTTATTAATTTAGTATTTCGTTAAATAATTGAATCAAACATACATTGCAACCTTTGAGAGGTCGATCTGGTTGTGCAATAGTTGTATTAGCTATTTATTTGTTTTGAAGAAATGAAAAAGAATCGGATTATTCATTGTAATACATAAAAATATTATTAAAAACTAACCAAATTTGTACATCTTTGATTTGAATGCATTAGGATTACGTTCAAGTGTAGCAGCTATTGCTTTTGCTCGTTCATCTTCATGTCGTGTATCATTATGACAATTTAGACAAGCACAATTTTGACAATTAAGACCATTGGCAAAGCAATCACAGTATCTTTTAGAAAAGTAAAGTTTCTTTTTATGTCTTATCATGTAAACTTACAATTTAAGACACATTGATTTTGTACAATTACATGGTTTTCGTTGATATTGAACTGGTAAATAATCACCTGTTGTTGCCCTATATAGTTATAAATGAATTTATTTATTGATTTCAGTAAATAAGAAAAGTAAATAGATCAACCTCATATTAGTAGTTGATGGTTCTGTTGGAAAAAGGTTAGGATTATTATTATTATTTTCTTTTTGAGCAGAATTTAGATCTTGTTGAACTTGCAACTAAATAGAAGATAGAAAGAAAAAAAAATGAAAACAATATATTGAATTTATTTATTTTGAAGTCATCTAGTAGACGAGTTACTGGAGCATGTTTACTTAGTATTTTTTAAGTTTCAGAATTTTTTTTCCTGTATCATATATTATGAAAGTATTATGTCTTTTATAAGATTTATCTAAATACATCATTAATTTGTCGTTAGATTATTTCTTTTCTAACGGATTTATTTGTAAAACATTATTCTATCACAGACTTTGTTATACAAAGTCCGTAACATCAAATGATTCCTCAGCGAATCTATTCGAGATAGATATATCTCTGTTGGTATTCTTCTTCAGCTGACTCTCTCTCTCTCATAAATTTATTACTGAGTGAATATACTCTAAAAACAACAAGATAGAATTATATCGATAATTACTCTTCTAAAATTTGTACACTTAACTAGCAACACTGGATGACTCAGCTGCTACTGCTATGGCCTTTCAGATCATGCACCTAAGGATTAATTCCTTTTTTAGTTCACTAGTTTCTTTTGTTAACAAGAATTTTCTTTAGGTTATTATGTCACAAAAGAAGCTCTCTTATAAATTCTGCTACATAATATCGAATAAGTATATCCTATCCGATCTATTCCAAATATATTATTCTTTCACGAGATTTATTACAAGAAACAGCAACATCTACACTCACCTCAGCATTGATTAGAAAATTCTAATAAATTCTGAATATATAAGTTCTAGAAGTTGCTGAATAAGTGATAGAAGAATATCTCAAGTTAGGATAAATTTTATTGATGAAGAAAAAGTCGATTTCTAGTAATCATATTCTGAAGATTAATGTTGTTGAAGATGTGTACTTTATGACAAGTTTTATAAAAATTTTACCGTAACAAGTGGTTGTGTAATAACCAAATTTCCTCGCTGTTGAAGTAAAATTTGTTGACCTGATGTTTGTACTAAAATTAAAATTAAATCTCAATTTTGAAGTTTCGTGTATTGTTATGAATGATTTACTTGTAGACATCTCACTGGGATTAATAAATGTCGATGGTGTTACTAAACGTAAGGTTGAAAAAGATGCAGAAGTTGATGATTGTGGAACCATTGTCGCTAGGGATACTGTATTTAGTGGTTGAGCTTGTTGTAATACAGTCATTACTTCAGATTTTGGTACAGCTGAAAATGTTATATTAGAATTATTAAAATCAGATGAATCAAGAGCGATTCGTTTATTTGGATGATGTGGCTCAACATTATCACTCTAAAAAAATATTAACTCAGGAATAAGAATTTATATTAAATTAATGTTATTGCCTGTTGTAAAATGATTGGTTTAACATCAACATTTGTTGTTGTCGTTGTTGTTAGAGCTTGTTGAATACTATCACGATATGGTTTTACAATAACATTTTTGAATGGTATTGATGAAGATGATGACGGTTGTAATGCTTGTTGATGAAGAATGATAGGAGGTCGAACAATTGGATGAGCGGTTATAGTTTGAATAGAAGGATTTTGACTTGTTGATGAAGATGATGGAAGAAGAACGATGGACGGAGGATTACCGGACATTGGAATTCTCCTACAAATAAGATGAACGATCACTCTTTTTCTTCGATGAAAGAATTATCATCACATCCTTGCTTGTCCGCTTACAATTTGATTGAAAGAAACGATATTCAAATGAGTGATAGTTACAGAGGGCAGTATACGTCGAGACTGTACATTTAATCAAATTGTATATGTGGTAAGAAAGTCAACTAATTCAGTTACATTGAATTTTGAATTAATTCATATGTCTTTATCGATTTCTTTATTGAATTATTTTAACAATTTACTTGATCAGGATTGCTTTGATTTGAAATGGTTTGCTCTTTATTATGATTTATTAAAAATAAAAATATATAATTCTGGACCAAATAGAACAATAAAAATATACTTCTAGATGTCTTTTATGCTTCAGGATACATGTATATTTTTTAATAAATGAGAAAAATAGCAAGTTGAGCATTACTATTGTTTAGGCCAAAAATCTTTTGGAATTTATTCAATTCATAGAAAAATAGTTGCATATTAGAAACACAAACAAAATATGGAAAAAAATCTTTAGACTAGAGTCATTTGATATTTACTTTTGAATCAATTTAGAATTTCAGTAACAAATAACAAACTATTGTCGGCGCCAGAATTAAATAGGG